TCATGATTTTTTCTTGATAATATGACCACACACACATTATTTTATACTACCAGGAATTTCAATAGCAAATTTGCTATAAATATTTAATAGGCTGTGAAGTATGAACAATGAGCATAGAACTTTTAATTGCATGAGATAAAATAATAGCAAATAAAGATAACTGTATAGTTCTAAAATCAAATATTATAATTTAATACCTTGCTTATAAATAATATTTCAGTTAACAAAGAAATTTAACCAATTAATATAAAATAAAACACATGGATCAAATATTGATAGTTTATATTAGTATATAGTGTATAATATTTTTTAATATTGTCATTCTAATCGTACATGTATAATTAATATTTTTTTAAAGAAACTTTTTAAGTGGTATCGGAATATTCCTTGTGGAAAATCCCATTGACACATTACTAATCATAGACCTATTACCTTTAATGCATAAAGTTAAAATAACTCAAAACTACTCACGAGAGTTTTAATTTTGATATGTTAACATTTTAAGGAAAATTATCCATTAAATAATTTACAGAAGAAAAAAGAAGAGTTTTAATTATTTAAAAGACAGAAGTTTCTATCTCCATAGGATACTTCTTAAGAAGTATAAAATAATTTTATTTTTAGACCCAAATAATATTCAATAGTTATTTCTACTTAGGTAATAAATGCTAGCATAACGGAATAATCCTTTAAAATATTGTTATCATCTTAATTTAACTTTGTATTATAAAATCGGTGTTAAATTGTTTAATACATGAGTTTAAAAGTAACGAAAAAGGGTTACATGACAATTGTATGTTTGATACTAAAAATAATGTAGATTTTTTATAATAAAATTTGAAACTAGCCGGTTTTTATTTTAGCAAAGGGATTAAGCGTTTTTAATTGGAGACATTATAGTAATTTAGTCTGATTCCTCATCTCTTACACGTATAAACTAAATTTTTAAAATTATGAATAACTTACATCCATTGTATGAGTATGCTAAGTATGGAAATCTTGTTAGGTTAGCGAGACTTCCGGTTAAACTGAAACAGTAAAGTAAATAGTCCACATAGCCGTCAAAACTGCTGCGTAGTTTTTTTTCTGGTAGCTGAGGAAGAAAATCGAATTTAATCTATGTTATGGAAAATATTTATATGCATTTACTGCACTACTATTACATCATTTTTAAATAAAATATTCTGTAAACTTTAACATTTTTAAATATTTTCTATGATATTTTAAAGTTTGAACAGATGCTTTGTAAATGTTTACACCTCTATTATGCAAATTAGGTATTATTGATTAAGATCCAATAATATGGATAAATCTTGTTGAGAAGTTCCTATGAATTTTTTTAATAAATTTCTATTGATGTTATATTTCCTTATGTATTAAACACTTGGTGTGTATACTTAAGTAGGACTTAGTTACTGACGCTTACCGTTGAGTTTGATACAGTTAATCTTAAGTGTTATTGTTGATTGACATTATTTGAGACTAAACATTTAATACAGAAAAAAAAAATGTGCCCAGTAGATGAATAGAACTGTTAACTTAAACTAGTTAAACTTTAACCAAACACATTATTAAAAAAAAATAGTTTTTAAACTAATACTAATGTTCAATATTATTGATGGTTATAATATAATATTTGAATAAAAAGCGAACGTCGAACATACTGGTTTAGCTTAATAAAAAGCCACTCTGATCAATTTAAGAATAATATTTAACATATTGTTACTAAAAAACCTTATTAACATATTTTATTTTGTAGAATATGTTTAAAATGAGTTCTATAGGCTTCCAAATAAAGAAATATTGTTTTTTTATTTTATTTTTTTTTTATTTAATTTAATTTATATGATATAAATTATACTCACCTGTCGTGATTTTGAGTTTTCATAAAGCTTAAATTTTACAAATCCTCCGGTGTCATAATCAACAATGTAATCTTGTATTTGCAATACGTTAAATCTAGGATGTATATTACGTGGTAAACGGTTTTCATGATTAGAATTCATAATTGTATTTTGAATTTCTATAATTCAAAATAACTTTTAGAATAAAATGATAAACCGTTCGTAAAATAGTTATTTAAATACACTATAATGTTTACTTATGGCCGTTGTCAAATAAGAATGCTGTTAATTTGAAGGAATTGTTTCTAAGTAAAATAGCCAAATGTTAAAGAAAAGTATTTTAATAATAATAATAAAAATAATAAACAAATATTCAATAACAAAAACGATATTGTTAAAAAAAAAATTAGTAAATACATGCAATATTTTCAAAACTATAAATTAAAAACTAATTATTATTATGAAACTAAATAGCTTTTAAATTAAAAGTTATTTTTGTGTTTAAAAAAATAGAAAAACAAATTTTGATCAATATAAACACTGTGATTTTGAAGTATAAATATTAATAAAAAAAACTATAAATTATTAATATTGGGAAAGTAGAGGATACAATTTAAAAATGATTGCAACTAAGAAAAATAAAAATAAAATATTTACTCGCATTTAGAGTTAAATTATACAAACCATAAACGTAATTTGAAAATTATATGCATACAATGTTAAAACAAATAAACCCCATTGAAAGTTTTTTGAAAATTCTTGTATGATAAAATGTGTATCATAAATATTATAAATTCTATTTTTACTTTTAAACATTTTACGATTATAATAATTTCTATTTAGAACTATGAGAAATTATATTAAAATTATTTTTACACTCCATGTAGCAAGTATATATTCTTATGCTTCGCTGTAGTATAATATAATAAAGACTTATTTTATTATATTTCGTATGTGTGGTTTGTATGAAATGATTTGAGTATTATTTCTGTTTTTAATTATGCACTAAGTCCAGTCATACGTTTACTAACGTAAATTAAGGACTATTGATAGACATAAGACACATAATAATTTTAAAACTAATAAATTTCTCGTTCACGGGCTAATATACAACACATCTCATTTGTAACTCAAATATTTATTAAACCAAAAAATGCCATAAAACATATTGAAACACTACAATTTTGGACACAAGAGAAAAAGTTTATAACATTAAGACACGATCAAATAAAACAGTAGTATAGTTTATGAACCAATAGAATTAAACTCTAAAAGTTTTCAAATAAATGCTTAAATTCAAGTTTTTAATGCTATAATAAAACAATAGTAGGTACCTATAGTAATATTAATAATTTTAATAATCATAATATTTTAATATAATAATATATTAAATCTTTTTTAACAATATTAAACACGAATACAATAAAAAAATCTTATTGTTATTAAAATTGAGCAGCACTAAAAATCGTATAAATACGTAAATAATTATTATCGGACGTATAAAGTTACATTAATCATATAACTATAGAAAAATAAGTTTACCCAATGATGTCTATTAACACAAAACAGCGAAATATGGTTAAGGAAAGAACAAAAACACATAATATGGCAATAATAATATATTCTTTAGAAATGTTAAGAATTAATATAAAATATTGAAATTTTAATTTATAAAGACTATTAATATAATGGTAGGTAAGTGCTTCGAAAAAATATAATTATTTTTAAATTCGAATCAACGTGGTTTATAGTATAGTAAGAAAAATAATACGGATAGAAGATTCAATGATTAATTAGAAAAAAGAGGAAGACTATATTCCTATATTAATAAGTTAAATCATTTTATGAAAAAAAAAAACTGTTTTAGATACAAAACCTATCTAATCGTTACTCTAGGTCATTTATTAAGACGTGTTAATAATTAAATTAGTATAATAACTTCGCAATTGTCAAGACATTACGTGTTTCAGCCGTTATGATGGCGATACCAGATGGAACACTTTCGTTTTTTTGGTAATCTTGTCGACAACCCGATTGAAGCATAAAAAAAATCATTCTTTTTTTTTTACATGAAACGTTAATATGTTGATTCTTTGTATATTACTCAATTTAAAAGAGTGATGGATTTTTTGAATTTTCAAAAACTCACAAAAATTTTTGATTTTTTCAACTTTTAAAGTATTTTTATACTTGTTTCATATATTTGAATATAATATATATAATATATATATTTTAGGTACAGTTGTTAACTATAAATCATTTTGGTTTCTAATTTTGATATATCATTTTTAAATTGCACGTATTTGTTCATTTAAAATTTGAGATAAACTTAATTGTTAAATTATTTATTTATAGGAACTTAATGTTCTTCGTGCTCGTGTGCTTGTATGTTGTATTTTGATATTTTTTGGAATATTTATAGAGTTTGAAATTAAATGTGCTCAATCGGGTCATAAAGAAGGTAAGCTTAGTAAGAATGTGACCGTGTCACCAGTGGCGATTTATGTGATTAATATTATTGTTTTTATTTACAGCATTTGATCATTGAAAATTAAATAACTGACTATCGGTTAATTTTTAATATTATCGGGGTGTTAATAAAAACAATATAACTGAAATAAAAAAATGACAATAAACTTAATCATCGGATAACTCGAAAGTTGTAATATCAAATGTCAGGTATCATAACATTTCATTCGTACGACAAACATATTCCGTTTATTATTCTTTGGTTTTGTGCAGAAGTCTTATGAATAAAATCCAATAGAACTACGGAGAACAATATTATAAGTGTCTACTCAAAAAATTTTTTAACGTTATCGTGATGCAAATATTTTGTGTTTAATATTATAGCAATAATAATTAACGGGATTCAATAAAAATAGTGATTGAATATTTACGAGTGTGTAATCGGCTTCAATAGTGTATTATGATAATACCTATGATGATCTAATGTGACGGTTCATATTCTGTCTGTAGATATTTTTAAACCGATAGTGACATTTAATTTCAACATGATTTTCTCTAACAATATTTATCTACACATAAAATGGTTCAATAATAGATGAATTTTGGTTTTAAATAAATAAACAAGACTATAGTGTGGTGTCCAAATTTAAAAAAAAAAATAAGTATTTAAAAAATATATTTGGCAAGTTATAAAATTGTGTCATACCATAGATTTTAATATATCGTAACAAACACGCTAATAATATTATATGATTAGCCGTAAACGAAAAAAGTACACACGAAGTAGTCGCATTAACGACGCGTTGGTAGCTGAGTAATATTGTGAAGGATAAAATGATTTATATTGATCACTGTAAGTTGCACGCGATTATGTTTATTATTATAATATACGTGTGCGGCGGCGCTATGATATCTGAATAAAAACTAAATCATTCCTATTTGAACTTTGTTGTTATTGCCGTTGTATAATGAAGTGTAATATTTATATTTTTACAAAAGACGAACGTGTTACTCTGAAGCGTAATGATTTTTAATTATTTCAAAACAAAAGCCAAATCTGTGCGTGCATCACGTGGTCCCGGACCTACGACATCGTCATTGATTTATGGAAAACTCCGTCGCTATATCTACTCAAAAAGTTGTTGAGCCTCACATAAAAATATTGTAGAAATTCTATATGATGTGTACCGTTCCTGTACATTCCTATTCGCTACGGTTCGATGTATTTTTGAGCCTGTATTTTCGTATACATGATAATGATTGATAACATTATGGACAAATGTACGTACATTTGTATAATATACATAATATAATATTATGATATTATAGTAATAATATAATATAATAACAATAATCATCTATGCCCCCGGTAAAACGTCCATATTTTTTACCCACCGCGAGTTCGTCAAATGATCATAAAATATTAATTGTGTGTGTATGTGTGTGTGTGTGTGTGTGTGTGTATGTGTGTGTGTACAAAAATAACTACATAATAATAATATATAAACATTACAATAGTATACGATGAAGTAAATATCAAACGATTAAAATAAAATCGATTCGATAATAATAATAATAGTAGACAATATAATAATAATATATAAACGTTAAAATACAGTACATCGAATAAAGCGGTGTACGAAAACAAAATATTATGTATATATTATATAATATATATATAGGTACCAACCAATGCGATTGCGGTGTATACCTTGGTACGTGAATTACAGGGGTAGGGGGTGGAACCACATTCGTTCCAAGACGCACGACCGCCGACGTTTTTAACATACCTATTATTATTAATGTACAATTTTAATAACTTTAAAGTGCCTACCTATACATCCTATAACAGTGAATATAGGTACGTGTTTTGTTTTAAACACGCCGTTACGACGTCTTCATATTAATACTGTCCGGAAGAAATTTACGTACATCGATACTAAACAATATTAAAACGCTGTCAATAAGTAACTATACTACATATACTGAAGCCTAAGATTTTAAGCTATTAATCATAATATTTTACAATAACATAATATAATAATATATAATAAACGGCGGTGCAACGTCAGGCATCAATGGTGGTTGAATGTCGAGTATTGGGCCACTTTTGTCGGTGGATATTTCATGTTGTGATTGCCGTTAGCTTCCCGTTTACGAGATCCAAAAGTCCGTTCGTTGATCTGAAACGTGTCATTTGAACGACGGACGATTAAAAACGGTCGAAAACGACATAATTTCGTCGTGTACAGGTAAAATACGGAAAGCGTTCTACATAAAGTAATGCAGGAAGGTAATTATATGAAATGGATTACGATGTCTCGGTGGACTCGGAAGTACCTAATTTTACGCTCAATAATAATAAAAATGCTAATATTAAAAAAGCTGACAATAATCGTGTTTTTTTTTTCAATTTAAAGTAAGTACTAAATTCGTTTTATAAAATTATTATCATTCTATTTGCACACGGCACACCAAATCCACCATAAACATAATATCCCTTAGCCATACAACAAATAATGTGTTGAAGATTTTTCAAGAGACGTATTAGATAATTTGACTTACAGTGACAGGAGGAGATGTACTGTAAATAAATAATTTAAGCATTTAGTTTTATCGAATGACAAAAAAATGAATAAATATTATTTATTTGATATCATATTTTTAGTATAAGCATACCATTTTTAATATTAAAACAACTTTTTTTACGGTATGCAATACTTGTCATAATTATTTCAATAGGATGTTTTAATGAACAAATTATATTTAACACCTACCCATTCTTGGACTGTCTCATAAATTGTTGAATTTTTCGAGCTGCTTGATTTTGACGTTTTTGATTTTGATTTTTTCTAAAGTTATAGTAATAATTGATAATGAATAATTAAATAAATGTTAATTAAGTCTTAAATATTATTAATAAAAAGCAATTATTGTTAAGGTATTTTAAATTTAAATATAGTTTAAGAAAACAAATTATTTTTTATAATAATTTATTATAAATTATTTTTTATAATAATTTGAACAAAAATAATTTAAGTTTATAGATCAGATAAATAAACCAATACAAAATAAAATTAAAATAAAAGGTATTATAAATCAATAAAATATTATACATAAATAAAAAGCGACGAATACATCAAAAATTGGTTAAAAGTTGTAATATATTTTAGAATTTATCAAACGTATAAGATTTTTTGTACTTACTTAATGACAGTGAAAGTGTTATTAATGTAATGAGAAGTGTCATTTTTAAACCGCTTATGTCTTCTGTATACACGATACTTATTTTGAATTAGAATCGCAGCTTTTGTCATCTGCTTGTAATATGCATACTGATGAGAAATAAAAACGATTTCAATATTAATTAAAATGAAAATATAATATTAGTATTACAATAATAGCAATGCATTGTAATTAATTCATGAAACAGAATAGACATTTTCAGAGTGACATTATATTTTCGTTTAAACTAACTTGTTTGTAACGGCGATAATAGTTTTGAATGATGGAAGCAGCTGAAATTTCTTTGTCTTCTTCTCTTTTTTTGTACGTCCTGTATGCTTTCTGAATAGTTTTAGCTGCCTCGTATAACTCACGTTGTTCGTAATCTACACATTTGATAATATGTCAATCAGAATAGGTTTTGTTTTTTCATTGACTTTTCCCTAACGCAACGTTTACCAGACAGTGTAAGATTTGAAAAATTCTTTTCAAAGTATTGGTTGTTTGATGAGGCGTGGAGAAATTCACATAGATCTGCGGCAGTCGGTGGCGGTGAAGCAGGTGAACATTGTGATGCACTGGATACTGGACTTAAGGTTAAACTGGTACTTGACGTAGGTGTTTCTATTTCTCGATCTTTTTGCCTGGCAATAATTAAATTGAAACATGATTTTAATAATTATAAAAACATGTATAGTTTATTAGATTAAAGGGAGCACCTAGTTTTGGATTTACAATATTTTTTAATATTTTTAATAAGTATATTGGAAAATTTTTTTGCCAAAAATACATTTGCATGTGGATAAAAATAATTACATAGATAAATGTTATTTTTTGATGTTTATAGTTATGCAGATGCAATTTTAATTCCAGTATGGGAATATTCCACGTTGGGAAGATTATTGTTAAAGTATTGTATTTTCGTATGTAAACCCTTTGCAGACAAAGTGTATAACATGATAACAATTTGAATATTTTTTGCACTGTTATTATTCTTTAGTTAAGTCTTATTGTTCTTTAACTTTTTAAGAATTAGATTTTTAATTAAGTAGTTTGTCCCATTGGTCTATGACAACCTTTAATTTTATTATTTTTAATAAAAACCATTAAAATTGACCATTTAAAGTATTTCAACAGTTAAATTTTAATTTTATAACAAATCTAATTTAAAAAATGTATTACTTTTAAAATGGCCAATTTTTTATATTCAGTTTGGAAATTTATATAATGATCAAAATAAAAAAGTATATTTCATAATATAATGATTATATAATATTATACATTATATTTCATACATTATTTAACTTTATTTAAATAAAAATATTAAAAACGATGGAAAAAATATGAGTACTTGATATTCTATAGTTAATGCTTAAATCTAAGTAGGTTGTTATGTCTGGTTGAGATGGATTTAAGCGTTTTATCATGTAAGTCGTAAGAAAAAGATATTCTACAGGTATGTGTGCTATGATATACATACCGATAATGATAAATGTGTTCGTTGAATTCCGTGTTAATTTCAGAGTTTGTATCAAAACAACACGACGACACAGATGACGGAGGATCGTCAAGCACTTCCATTCTAATGATTGATGATTCTACAATTTTACCATGTGACCCGTTTTCATTCTAAGTGCAAAATAAATAATTATTATCGTTGTATTTGGCTTTTAAATCGTTTAATTAAATTAGCAATCATAATATTATGTCAAAAAAGTGTAAATATTTCATTATATATTCGTAAAATATTATAATATTTTATAACTATATCATATTAGATAAAAATCTATATACTTTAAGTCTGTATAAATGTTATTAATGATGTTTTTAAAATATTTAAAAAATAAAATTCTATTATAAATTATAATATACGTAATATAAATAATAATATTTGTGTGATTTTTTGTAAGAATAAATATTTCAGATATAATTTATTAGAAATGTATTGAGATAAATCAAGGAACAGTTTGGTTGTAAATAATGTGTGAAGTTGATGTACCTTAATATGATCAGGCATAGCCGCTATGAACTGTTCAGCTAATGTTAAAACACGAATATCATGTTCCCCTGAAAAAAAAATAATAAAACAAACAATTCATTACATTTGAAACATTTTTTTGCTTTAGAAGTAGGTAATGATGTAATAATTATATATAAATATATATATAGTTGATATGCTTACCTGGTCACTGTGACATTGTTATACTTACAGGTATAGGTACATCGTAGAGAAATAATTAATTGCAATGAATATTTTTATTACTATACAGACAGTAATTATAATCTACATACATACAACATGATAATTCATGACGCTATATTAATATACTATATCAAAAAGAAACAAAATCGTATCATTATTGTCTATTTTATGGTGCATTTCAATAAAACATTCTTACAAAAAAATTTAAACAAAATATGCCTAGTGCCTATAAATAATAACGGTGTAAAAATATTGCAGTGGAAGTTTGATTTATACACACATATGTTATATCATTATATTAATTCATTATGGTGTTTTACACATTCACATAATATGATATATTTTACATGTTACGGGCAGATCCTGGAGTTCAGATTCGTTGATAGGTTAGATTCATTGATTGTATTATTTAGAGAAAACCAGATTTTTTAAAAAAAATTTGTTAATTTTGTTTTACCTTTTAAACTAAATGAACATTGATTTTATTTTAAATATCTTAAAACATCAATAGTTTGTTGCATTCTGCTGGAGAAATATTACGTTATTATAATATTTCATGAAATAAGAATACAATATTCTATATGTTATTACAATTCGATTAAATGAAGTGATTGGTTTAATTAGATATTTTATATATAATTTGACTTGAATTAATGTTCTATTTCAATAAAATATCAACAACAAATGTTATATTTTAATGGAATTTTAGATTCAACCAGTTTAAATCATAATAGAAGAAAGTGCAATCGAATCAAATACAATCAGATATAAGTTCAGGATATATTTAAAAATAACTAATAAAAGGTACCTTTATGATTTTATAACATATATTCAATTATGGTATAACTGTATTAAAAGACATACTCAATATTAATTTTTAAAAAAAAGTCCTTAGTAAATTTAATGTCTAGTTTTTGAATAATGTTTAAAAATTTCATTCACCGCGTCAAATCGCAAAGATTTGTCCAATATACAAAGAACAAATTGTATGGTGGATGAATACAATAATAACGAGGTTACTTATCAACGATGAGGATTTTTAACTTAAATTTAACTTGATACAGCTTTATTAAATTTCTGTTTTCCTCCTTTATTTTCTTGTTTATAAAATAATAACGTCTTTATATTTTAGATTTTACATATCTATATATTTATTCGAAATTTGAACCATTGATATATTATATATATATTGTCATCCTTATTTAAATGGACTTAAACACTATTGATGATATAAACATATATAAAGACTTAGCACACCACGAATTTCAATCAAAAATTTAATCCATTTTAGAATATATTGATATCTATAGTCTGGTCGGAATCTGTATATATGTACTGACATTTTTGATTCTAATTGTCACTACACGATCATATATTTTTGAGTATGAAGTTTTTACACTATCGAGATTGATTTTTTTTTTTTTTTTTTTGAGAAGGGATTAAAGTGTGTAGCTATTTATTTTAGTATTTTAAAGGGGTCTATTTAGTACCTTAGATTAAGAATACTTGATCTATTTGAAACGATTTGGAAGTTTTTTCAATCGTCACACCCGCATTTTTCGATCCACCCGTAACGGCCGTAACACATAATATATGGTACGCATAATGCATATTGCATATGTACACAATGATCTATTTTAAAATCGTAATAACACAGTGTAAAAATATACTGTAGTGTATAGTATTCATACCGTGTTCAGCATAATCTTTAGGTGTTTGAACTGCGTCTTCGATTCGTTCATCGTTCTGACGTTCATTGGGTCGCGTGTTACCATTGCCATCGTTTTCACTACCCACGGCTCCGTCCGCCGGTCCATCGGCCAGCGCGGTTACCATGCCTAACGGTCAGCCAATCAAATTCTACCGTAACAAGCTAATAAAAATAAAAGCTATCGAACGCATAAAAAATAATGTAGAAAAAAAATAGAAAGAAAAAAAGGGGAAAAACAAAAAAGAAGAAAAAAACCATCTGGCCCCATTACAGTGGTTTGGAGCCGATTAACTCCCGTTGCCTGCTTGGCCCGTTTTAATATTTTTTATAGATACGATAATGTGATAGTGTGTTCGGCGATGTGGATAAGTACAGGTAGGTAACTAATTCCTAGCGATAAAAACAAAAATAATAATAATAATAATAAACAAAACAAACAAACACAATTATTGTAAGTATGCCCTGCATACGATCTCTGAGCATAATATCCGAATAGCAAGTATTGCGAATTCTTGATTTAATAACAATGTAACTAATGTCATGTTATGTTGGTCTACGTATTATTATTATGGCGCATATAGTATAAAATAATAGTATAATAAATTACTCTACGATTAATATACAGCTATAATTTTTTTTTTTATAAAAAATTATCAACGAGTGACAATTAAATACGGTTAAAAAAAATAATAAATACACCCAAAATATATTTACGTCACCTACGTTTACGTAGTAACAATATTACATATAAAAATATTTTCTAAATGTCGATTATACCACAATAATAATAATAATAATAATAATAATAACCTTATTATTTAAGTAATAATTGAACTGTATAGGTATAGTATTATAATATTATATTACTGTTCAAAGCGAAATTTTGAAGTCTAATTTTTAATATAATAATACATTAATTTTAATAAATAAAAAAAAAACAAAAATAATCAATAAGTGAACGATATACTTACAAATTATAAAATCAGACTTTGATAATACTGGTGATTTCTCTGACGAATTTCCGCTGTCTGATGTAGGAGATTGTAGTGGAAGAAATAAACTCTTTTGGAACCTACATAGAAAATTACATAGGTGTAATTGATTATTAAATATAAATTTTGATCTAACACTCAGTTTTTCATTAAAATATAATTTTTTAAATAAAAATTCAGATAATATTTACTTTTGAATAGATGGGAAATAGAGCGATGGTTTGCAGAATTGATCATAATAGTCGTCTGTCTGGAAAAAACTATTAGGTAGTGGTCTTTTGGAACCTTGAGTTTCTTGTGGTTTTATTTCATTTTTATCTGATTTGGTTATTTCTTCTTTTGAACCTTTTATGAGTAGATATACAATTTAAATTAATTATTCAATATATATCTATAACTTATAGAAAAATATAATTTAAACAAAGTAATTACATAACATGGGAACAGATTTATTAGGTGACGTTACTAGATTATTTGATTCGTTGGTTGTTTGATTGATTTCTTTTTTAACATCACTAAAAAATATGATTTTGAATGTGAATAAATAATATAATGTCTAAGTGTATTTATTTAATACTTATTGATTCCATCAGGCCTTAAAAATACATCGTTACTTAAATTTTCACTGTTGCAATACTGATTTTGATTGAAATCGTTAAAATCTGTAATGATGGTAATATACATAGATTTTTTATATTGATGAAATACAGGAAATTAAAATAAAAAATTTCGATTTCATACACTGATTAACGGATTCTAATATATCGGGTTGAGAGTAATCTTGATTAAAATTGTTATTTGAATTTTGAACAGTTTGATACCATTGACACAGTAACACCGCTGTATCTTTGTGTCCTTTTTTACAAGCCCACATCTAAAAAAATAGAATTTCAAAATAGCCATTAAAAATAACTATAATTTAACGATAATGCATTAATTTATCAATGATAAATAATTCACCAAAGGCGTATATCCTTCACGATCTTGCTTTGAAACATTGACTTCCATTTCCAAAAACATTGATACATTTTCTAATTTCCATTGAAGTAGTATGCACACGAGTCTGAAATCAAAGTAAGAAAGTTAGAAAGATAAATTAAAAAAGTTTTAGCCATTGCTAATAATATTGCTTTAGACTTACTTAGAATATCCCAAAAATGCTGCCATATGTAAAATAGTAGTTTCAGTTTCTAATTGTTTAACATTATATTCGGATTCAGATTTCCACGAGAATTGTTTCATTTTTTCACAATAATTTACAAGTTGATCTTCAAAATTGGGTTTGCTGAACATTACAATATTATCTTTCTAAAAAAAACCCCCCCAAAAAACGCGCATTAAATCATCAACCAAAATTTATTAACAATCAATATTATATTTACTAATGGTTGGTCTGTTTGTTGATTGTTTGACTGTAAGTAATCTTCGACGGAGTCAAGTTTTTGTAGCAAATGAAACTTGAGTAGAGAAGGTGTATGTGCCATCGATAACGAAGATATGGTTAACGGAAATTCGTGTTGACGGTATTCAAATATGGCGGTAGTTGATACTGGCCTGCCATCAATGACTACTTGCAATGTGACGGTGCCTATATCATGAGCTGCAAAAAATGACATATTTGTTTTTAATCTAATTTTGATTGATTGAATCTTACATAATAAATTAGGAGTTCCAAAAAGTGTACTCAACTTGATTATTATTATTATTATTTTTTTTTTATTAATTAAAATTTACTGAAAAATAATATTTTTCATCTCATGAATAAATTATAGTTCAATGTTATAAATTTGTAGAATGTAGATGATGGCATTTATATTTTTTGAATAATAGTAACAACAATAGTTCATAACCTAACAATTAATTTATAATTTAGTTATTGTAATGTTTTATTTTATTTTTGATAAATCTTTTAACATATTATAAATTAGGTATTATTTCATTAATAAAAATATGATATTAATAGTTATTAACTAATAATTTATTCATTTAAACATCTAATATTAAACAACAAATTAAAAATAAATTTCAATAATAACTGATTAATTATAAACGTGTCAACTTTTCACTTTTATTTCAAAGAAAAATAAATATAACATGTTACAAAAATAAATAAATAAATAAATTTTATTATAGTAAACAGGATAAATAAAAAATTAACTATGTTTTTTTCTATTTTTCAACACTATTATTTTCTGAGTGTTTTGCTTAATTGGTTGACAGCATACAATTTTATTTTATTTTTTTTAAATTAACTTTTTAATATAAATTAATTTACAAAATAAACATAGTCTTTTGAAAAAAAAAATAACGTTTTATATCAATGTATTGATGTATAATTTTTTCAATACTCTTTCCAGAAATCTTTTTATTATAAATCGTAAGTTGTATACATCTATAATTTCAATGCTCTTGTATATTCTCATTGCCTTTAAATATATCAATAAGGTACACCGCTAGTAATAACTAATTTATTGATTTCACAGTCTTGAATTTTATAAAAATAGTATAAACAACAATAATAATAATAATAACCAAGTCAAATTTTAAAATTTTAAATGTTTTTATTTTATAATCAAATGAATCAATATTGTTTTCAATGTTTATTTCAATGTATGAAGTCTCTGTGGATATATTAATAAGTAATATCAACCACTTAATCGATTTTTGTTATATAATTTCAAAATATGTTTTGATATGTTTTAAACCAGCAAAGCTTTTTTCACAAATAAAATTAAATATATTTTTAGTTTTGTTCATTAATTAGAAAATATAGGCGTATGGTTTTTGTTCTAAAAGATGTAATTTGCGTCTCTTTTCAAGGTTGTAAATTATGCAACATAAAACTAGATAAAAGGGCATTATGTTTTGTGTAACTTGAGCAATCTTTTACCTTAAAAAATTGTTATTTGCGCCATGTTTGACCATATTAAAATGTCAATTGGTGCAAAGTCAAAATTACTTACGATAATATGTTATTTTTATTTAAAATAAATGAGTAATATTCTAGTTAATAATAAAACATGCATAACTTTGGGTTATTTAATTCATTGATTGATTATACATTTAATAATAGTTAATGTTGGTTATTCATATTTTATGTGCTACTTTGTATAACTGATGTAAACTCGTTAATTTATTGGGTAAATTCCAACCAAATTAAAGTTATATTAAATTTACATTCACATTTTTACTATTTAGTTTTCTGTGATTGTGTATATTACCAAAATTTATATTTAGATGTGATGCAAATTATAAGTTATTTTTTGCGCAAATCACATACGGACTGAAATATATTTATTGGAGTACAAATTGCATGTACTAAAATTGGCCGTCTACATCTTCCCGTAACAATATATCTCCATGGAATTGAATGAATAAAATATTTCCAGGAAAACATATTACTACATCCTGTGGATTATGTGTAAGATGGCGCTGTTTTTCCATTTTTTATTTCAAAGTAATTTGATTTAAATTTAAAAATCCCAATCGTAGCGATTTTCCAGTTAGATGTGCTTAAATATTACCATATTATTATCATTTCACAGATAAACTGTAAAGATAAATATATATAATATTAAGTTTATTTGATATATTTTCATCATACTATTCTGTCGATGTAATATTCAAACGATGCGTAGTATGTGGTTACGACTTGATGAATATAGTATTTGTTAAAAGAAAAAAATTATAATCAATTTTAATGATATATACAATAAATAATTACTAAATAAAAAGAAATGTGGAATAAAATTGGATCTTGTTTGATCAACTGGAACTAATATTACAGAAGAAAATAATTTGTGACCATCTGTGTATATTAATCCTAACAATATGTTATATAGATAAAAATATTAAATTTAAACAAAAACATCACTGCAGAATCAAAAATCAGAAAGAAAAGTAAGAACCATAATATGAATAAGATAAGCTAGTATAATAAAATAAACTGAAGATTAGATAAGTAATATCAAATGTATATTTAATAAGTAAAAAAGTTATTTAAAAATATTGTGACATATATATTTATGAACTTTATGATAGCTACATATTACATACTTATATTCTAAACAAGTAAAGGGAATTATGAAATTTTTGTTTGGATACATTTTTGAAATACTGAAACGGTTAAAATAATGCAATAATATTACTGCTAAAATTTTATATTAGTAAATTGAAAGTATAAAAACATACAATAGGTAGGTATATTAGAATGTATAGCACTAACTATTACTTTATTATAATTTGCGTAGTTAAATAATATTTTTTATAAAATAACTGACAAAATAGATCAATCATGATTTGACTTGATTAATAATTAATATGCATTTTTTATAAATTTATATTTAAAATAAATATTAGGAGAGAAACCAATGAATACCTGTTGAAAGAACACAACGAGTTTTTTTTTCAATTTTTCAATTTAATGATTGTTGGTTTTTATAAAAGAAAGTGTTTTAGTAGGTCTTTACAATATTTTCTTTTAATTTGAAATATTCTATATATTTTACGTTTTGTTTGACCGTTTGACGTTTGTGATATTATGAATTTCTATAGGTAAATAAGTTTATAGTTATGAGTAAAATTATTTATTGTTTGGTGGCTTTTAATAATTAATTTTTTTATTCAACGCAGAGTGTTAAGTAAGACTTATACCGATCCATTTAAAATTTATAGGAATGCTTATAAAGTACAAAATAATTTAGGTTGGCCAGTATCGAATTTAGTTCATATATTATAGGTTCAAATTGATTTTAGATTTTAAAATTGGGCGAATAACCTACATGTAATCAGTTGTTAAGAAATATACTTTATTTGATTTAAAACTAAGACTCCAAAGTTAATATTTTATCTAATCCCAAAATATTTTTCTACCTGAGAGATTGGGATTGAAATTACTTTGAAATAAAGCAGGGGTCGGCAGCCCGCGGTCCGCGGGCCGCAAAGCAATTTTTGATGGCCCGCACAAAGGTGGTTAATTTTTGTGTTTTACTTTTGTTCAATAACATTTTTCATATAATTTTCAATATTATATAATTCTTTTTCCTTTATAAATAAAATCTAATCTAACCGTTTCATAATAGCAATACAATTATAAGTATTATATCATAATATGTAATTTTTTTTTTTAATGTGGCCCTTGATGAACAATTGAAAAAAAAAATGGCCCGTGTGGTTAAAAAGGTTGCCGACGCCTGAAATAAAGAAATATAATGTAAAAGAGTTTTAGCATAACAATAATGATAAAGCGAGTATTTAGAATAATATGAACACATGAAAAATTTTCATGAACTTTATGGGTAACTAGTATATTCTGATTCTAGGTTATGAAATTTAACGGGAGAAATAAAAGAAATTCTAAACAATTTCTAAACGTTCAAGGTAAAGTATAAATTAAACTATTTTTTTATTAAATAAATGGTTTTTATATTCTCATTACGTATAGTCTTAATATTTTCTTCTCATTCAAATATAATCTTCTTGTTTTATTTTTTTTATCATATACTTGAAATATTATTTTTTAGATTATCAAAATATTATATTAATAATAATATGTTAATTTATTTGTTTATTTTAATTATAGTAATAATTTACCTGGACAGTAGCATCTTAAAACACCTCCTTGAATTAAAGTGCTTGGAACTGTGATCGTATCAAACATAACAGTGTATGATGAGGAAGAAAACCAAGGACCCGTGATCAATACCTTTACACCTCCCTAAAAATAAATATAGACAAATCAAATAGTTTTCATCATAATTAACCTTCACAAACCTCTGGAAATGCCCATTCAGGACAGTAATCGGTTATTTGTAGAACATCCATATTGTCTAATTGCGTTTGCTCATGTGGCTGCATATCCGCGGCGTTTGTTCCTATTTCCGTAACCAAATCTGTGAAAAAATATTAAATTTTCATTACAAATTGATAAAAAATAGTAATTTCTCAAAAGTAGATCATCTGGATCATTATCAAATGCATACTTGAAGCATGTTGCGTAGCATGTTCTAGGATATCAAGTTCTTGGAAGTCAGTAAGCATATCAAATGCATCAAGACTTACAAATACATCGTCTCCAGTACCATCTAAATTTTTATTACTATGGTCGTCATCCAACCTGTAGAACATACGGTTATATAATATTATAATATATTATCACAGTGGCGTATCTAAGTGTTTTGAGTGTACATACATTGTATTTATACAAAAAGTATATTTATTAAGATATCTACAAGATATATTGGTACAATATGGTTCTATTTCTTGTTTGATAGTATTATTTTAAAGTTTGATGATTATACAATGAGGAAAAATGTGAGTATTTAAATATTAAATTAAAACACCCGTAAAAAATCCTGACTACATGTCTATATTATTACATTAATTAATAAAATATATCACCCATAATGTTTGAAATTTTGAATATTTGAACTCGGATGAATATAAATGAGAACCGATTGAAGAAATTATAGTATCAAATAGAATTATAATATATGTTGTGATATTGACATTTATAATTTGATAATATTGAATATCTGTAGAATCAAACGAATACATTTTCGTTCGAATAACACTATGATTTTACCGTAATAACTGATCAGCATTGGCACACGAAACTGGCATGTTGGCTGAAAGCGTCTGTTGTATGTCGTCGTGGGACAAATCTAACGTGACATCATAGAATTCTGATTTAACGTGATCCGACTGTTGTTTTAAGTGATCTTGTCCATGGAACAGATGTACAGTGTTATCGTCCTGATTTTGTGAAGTGTGATACGTTTGTTTTTCGGTATACACGTGAATCACTTCGTCTGAACCTTGTGGTTTATATGAAATCATTGTTGTAGGTATATGATTATTGTCTGTCACATTGATTGGTGGTTGTCTGTTGTTCAACATTTGATTGTTATCTCTCTATAAATAAAAAATAAATGATTTCATTACATTTTGTTACGTGGATATTTAAATAATAAAACTGAAGTTCACAGTCGAAAATAGTCAAGAAATAATAGATATCATAGACTTTTTTTATTTTTTTTATTAACTTTGTGATGATAGATTAAATACGAAGAAAAAATATTATTAACAGGGTAGAAGTAATTTATGTAAAACAAAAGTATATTACAAACTATAATTTTCTGATTATTTGTTTAAAAGTTGAACTTTTAAAAATTAATTTTCAATTATGCCACTATGTGAACATTTTTAATCAATATACTAATTAGGTAATTGTTTTTCTCAACGTCAGAATGCCGAACTATATTATAATGACTTTTGTTTTTGAAATACGAAACAATATTTTTCACAAATTATTTAACATACTATAAGAATTCAATTATGTAAATAGTGGTTCTCATTAATTGTTTTGTATAATTAGAGCAAGGACTTTCAATCGCATATTTTTTTTGGTTTACTTTTTCATATGCAGAGTAAGTAAACAATATATTTCACAACGTTGTTTTTAGTGCATATTTTGACATTTTTGGGTTTAAAAGACATATTTTTTGATTTTTAGTTTGTAGTGTATATTTTGAAGATTTTTCGAAAATCATGTTTTTCAGTGAATATTTTTCTCGATTGAGGACACAAATTATCATATTAAGCTGTTTTTATATTCTCATTAAGAAAAAAGAAACTCATTTTAACATAGTTGCGAATCTGTAGATTAGATTACAATAAAGTTTTTGATGCATAAGTGTATATTTTTAAATGCATATTTGATGATTTTTTAGAGCATGAAAGTCCTTGCTCTACGATATAATATATATATATATATATATATACTCTGTAACCTTTAATTTTGAATGGATTGTAAACAATATTTTTGTGTAGTTTATGGAATGAAAATGTTTATGAAAATATTATAACACTCGTGTCATACTGTAGTCAACTAAATTAAGTATTTTCTTGTTACTACTTTGAGTATAAATTAATGGATCCGAATAAGATACTTACGCAATCGTGCTTGAGTATTATTTGTTGTTGTTGCGGTTGCTGTTGTTGTGGTTGATTGCGAAAATCCCTTGTGGAATTCGACAACAAGTTGTTATTCATTGTAGTGTTCAAGGAGGTTGGTCCACTTTGTGCTTGCTATTTATATTTGTTTTTTTAATAAAGATTATAGCAATATATGATTTAAATATCATAGCTTCTTAATATTAAAATTAATAAATATCGTTGATATTCAATAAATGAGCATTAAGTAAATTTTTCTAAACTTTGCTATTGACTATAATACATTTTAAGTTTACGAGCTTTTAGGGTTGATATTTTTTAAAACGTATAGATGTAAATTGAAAAAAAAGGGAAAGTAGATAATCAATTTTTTGTAAATTAGGTGTCAAGTGTAACTAATCATTGATGAGTAAGTCACGGTAATATATGTGTTAAATTTTAATTCAATAATAAATCATTGCAAATGAAAAACGATTTTGAGTGAAAATAATCTGTTGGCCTATATAATATTACTAAGAATATTTTATGATATAGGTATTTTTATATTGTTATTAAAGGTTAATTTTTTTTTCTAACATTTTTACAGTTGATTGAATTATTAATAATGCCAAAAATATTGCATTTTAAAATGTTATTATGTGCGTTTCTACCACAAATAATGTTTCCAGATACAAAAATAAAAATTCACGTTGTTGTAAAATCAATATACATTCAACGCTCCACTTAAAATTTAAAACAATCTGATTAGTGCCTTTTAATATTAAACTGTGCACCCGCAGAGTTGTGTGATATGGTCCATATCAGTTTTTAACTTGCATACCTTATGATTGGCGTGATTAGCGATCATTAATGTGTTCATCGTGGTCCTGGACGAATTAACGTGGTGGTTGGTGAGCAACATTGTACCGGGACGCGATCGATTCCCAGTCGTTGATGACACCTAAGAAGTATTGTCATAACGTTTTAAGTATTCCAAATCAACGAGGACGTAATACAATTGTATTATTCTCATCACGATAACCAGGGTTCGGGACTTAAAGCATTTATTAATTTGTTTGGTTTAAAATAAATTGGACCGAGTACTATGTAATTTATGATAATGATTAATGATAAGTTACTGCTATTTTATTGTAATAGTTTATCTGTTTTTTTTCTTTATTTTATATGTGCGAGATGATCTAGGCGATATCCTTTTTTTGTCAAACATGAAATGATTTTCGTAATCTTGGAAAAACATACTTAGCAATTTAGCATAGGCACAATTACTTAGTTGATATTTTATAATACAATAATCATATAATATTATATTTTTTTTTTTTGTTAGGAAGGGACTATTTTATTTTACTTTAGAGTTTAAAAGGTAGGTTACTATATTTGAGATTTTTTTTGTTGTGCACTTTTGTGTTTTTAAATGCTTAATTTAATGCATATATAATTAAGTTTTTTAAGTGCCTTTTGATCGCTGATTTTAGGTACTTTGAGTTTCGAACCGTGATGATTATTACTGTTACAACTTACAATTTTTTCTACTAGGCTTATGTCTAGCCCACCGGTATCAACATAATTTATTAAAGGACGTACCTGATTGCTATCTGATGGAGAAATCCGTCTGATCGGGCGCGAGCACGATTGTCCATCCGCACACGTTGAGTCCGGACATCCGCATTCAAGCGTTCGACTAAGTAACGTAGCCCTGGCGTTCTTCTGCCACTCCATCAGCTGTGTGACCATAGCGGCTACGCACTCAGCCGTCTACCGGAAAACGTATTACAATAATACATCAATTCATTGCGTTTGTTTGAGTGTAGTGTACATAAATAATAATCTATATGTATACTGCATTATATTATAATATAGTGTAGCTCACAACATTTCCCTGTTTTCTTATTTAACCGTTAATACAGGAAAAGATAAATCCTGTGGAGTCTATGCCGTATAATATTATATAGGTCATGCTGTCAAAGGATAACAACGTAATCACAGTTGGTACAATTTCACTTTATATGTCGAGCTTTATAATAAGCCAGATTTGAATCATTACGAGATTGCAAGTACTGGTTTCAAGCAAAAGCCACTGTGATCATCGATATACACAGACTGTATAGTTTATTAGAATAGGTAAACTAGCTGATCTCAAGCGAACAGTTTGACATTTCATCGATAATGGGATGCTTAAAACCTTTCAGATGTATTTTATTTGTCAAATTAAAAGAAGTGGTATGATCATTAAATCAATACAAAATAAGTTTATATGACTAAACTTAACTTTTATCATATAAATAATTACTTGAAATAAACTAAAGGCAACTACTTCTGTACTGTCTGTACCTATACAGTATTTAATATTTACATCCAAAAAGTGGTTAATTATTTATATGTACGTAAATGTGTGTAGATTATTTTTAAAACTAACCAAATATCATATTTGTATAATTTTATTCTTTTAAATATTCGTCTTTTCAAAGTTACCTATTAAACTTATTATAGGTAACTTTTTATGTAAAAAAAAAAAAAAAATAAAAATAAAAATGAAGTTGGAAATGAAAAGCTTGAATAACTGTATACAATCTCCATACTTAATTTTATGCAAATATAATTTAAAAGTAAAAATTATTATATTATATTATACAGATACTAAATTACTGTAGTAGGAACCAATAGAATTAATCTGCAGGTTTAATTTTTAAATTTATTTAAAAATATTACAGTATACCTATAACTTTTTCTTTTAAATCGTGAAATAATAACTTTTTAATGACATTTAACAAATTAAATAATTGCACATTTTATTGTAATCATGATTTTTAAGCAAATATTAAAATGTACGGAAAGTTATCGTAAATTGAACAATAATAACGTCAGGTAAAATATCTATGCTAATGATATGAATCATAAAAAAAACTAAAAAACTTATGATAACTTTGAAAAGCAATATTAAAAGTTGAAAATATGCATACAGCAGAACGGCCGTATTTTATATTTGAAAAGTTTGATGTGACGACTTTGTGTAATTTGCATGTTAAGTATTGCATACAAGTATAAAATATTGGTAACTTTTTGCCTACCATATCAATATAAAGAAGTTGATTGTACTTTGTCGTAAACATCTGTTTATTAGTTTCACAGATTACTTTTTTCTTTTTTTATTTGATAAAATGGTAATTTTAAATTTATTATTCATTAAATTTACTATACCTAATAAATTTCAGTTTCATAAGCTACCATTTTCTATTCCATCTGTAATTATTTGAAAATTGAAATTAATTCAAAAACTCGTCTACATTTTTATAGAAATAACTACCAATAATTTTACAATAAATTATGCAAAAACTAATTTATTCATATTTACTATTAAATTTAAAAAAAAATAAAATATTTAGAACTGTTCAAAGTTTAAGTAAGTAGGCAAATATTAAAATATTTAGGATGTATAAAACTAATTGTATTATTTTTATAACAGCTATAAGTGCCATTTAAGCTTGATTGAGAATTTAGTTGTAGAAAATTGTGAAATTTAAAAATAAATTATCATCGTAGTATATAAAAATATTTGTTAAAACTATTAGAAGTCTGATTTATGATAACCATTATTCAATTCAGGAGGTTGTTTTAATTTATCTTTGTATTTTCTGCTACTATGTTTACGATAACTTAGATATAGACTATAATATTTCATTTTCTTGTTATCGATAAGGTATCTACTACAATAAAATATATTTTTAATAAATATTCTACTTATAACATATTCTGTTTATCTGTAAATTATTTTAAAATTACGTTTTTCAATTAGAATTATATACTATAAGTTAAAAAATAAATTTATTATTGCTAAGCTAACTTTTTCAAACTGTCTGTTAATAATAATTTTTCAAGTACAATATTAATCGTCTTTTTTTTTTTTTTAATTTAATGTGACCGCACTATTACCGTCACTGTCCTTAACTGAGGTCCGTTAAAAATAAATCGTGCGTCGAAAGAAAACTTTTTTTTGATTAATTGAATAGGGCACAACCTATTTTGTTTTTATATTATTTAATTTAAAAAACTAAATAAAAATCATTACATGCATAGGAAATGGAGAATTTTGTAAAGTTTTATAAATAAAATAATATTTTAAATATAAATAAGTAAATATTTTAAAATAAATTACCTGTTCAAATAAATATGTTTTAAATATATAATATTTTTTGTTTAAAAATGTTGTCATTTTATTTTGATCAGTTTGGGCAATTTAAATGCATTTAGGTTAAGTAGATAGAGTAGGTAAAACTCATAAAATAAATAAATTATCATTATTACTATTATTTAGTGTAGTTTTTTTTTACTGAATTTTTAATTAAAAAAATAATAACCAGATAACCGAAAAAGTTTTTTTGTTTATTCCGATAAAAAAAAAAAAAAAAATTATATGTTTTTTCTGTGATACATGCAACTAATAATTTATTATAAATATTTATATATATATATATATATATATATATTTTTAAATGTTCAATCAAGGAAATTTTTCTTTATTTAAATACAATTATAATAGTTAAAATGTAATTTGTATATTATTTTAAAAATAAAAAATACATTTACAAATATTTCATAAAGTCATTTACGATGTATCGTGTACGAGAGGTGTTTATTATATTTTAAACGGGCTTGTTGACCCAATTTAATTTTGTTTGAAGCACTACAAGTACTTACCGATACTTCCATTTCGTTGCTAAGGTCAGGGTCTTCCTCGTAAACTATAAAAAATAATAAACAAAAGATATTTTTCAATACTATGAAGAAATAATTCTATAATTTAGTCATTGTACGAAATAATTTGAATTCTTAGGGTACTTACACATGGGTTTTAACTGAGATAGTAATTCGTCTTTCGTCCACTCTTTACGATCAGCCCACAATGCGAGGCTTGGTGAAATTACCGATAATTTATTGTCATCCGGATACGGTACATTTAAATAGTGTACCAACACCATATCAGGATTCTGATGACAACGAGAAGTAAACACGCATTACAATTTACAACAGTTCGATATAGTTATGAAAAAAAAACTGAATCGTCATTGACGCTTGCGTTTAAATTTAAATTTTAAATTTTTATGGTTTCAGAAAATAAAAAAATAAAAAATTTATGTGATTTTAAGAACTTATAGTTTTAACACGCTTTGTTATACCTAATCGATAAATATGTACAGTTTATTACAGAAATAAAATATGTTTCCAGTATTCCCTATTGACTTCACACATTTTATTAACTTTGGATTTATCGTTATTCATAAAGTTTTAAAAATCCAATGAAAATGCAGTGACAGTTTTGTGTAGCGTAATATTATGTATTCTAAAAACAATTATGATCGGTTGATTTTTATGTTATTTTATGGAAAAAAAGATAAGAATTTTCTGATTTTGAAATATCCATTTGAGAGTACAGTAAACCGTGCGTAAAATATTAAATCAGACGCATCTATAGCATCAATATGTGAATTTTAAAACATAAAATCTATAAATATTAAAACAAATAGATTCTCTTAAAATTAAAGTAATGTCTGTAGTTTTATTTTTATTAAAAAATCGAATACTTGTTTGTTGAAATTAAACTGTTTTAAAATATTTTTTGAAATAATAGTATTGTATATTTTTCATTTGTTCATGTTCATAATGCATGAGCACTCACTTGCAATAACCAATAACATCTTCTGTGAAATGTCGGAAGTATCGCTGAATGTACATAGCACCCGTAAATACACTAAAAAAAAAAAAAAAAACAATATTTATATTATATAATTTAGATTGGTGGAATGGAATGGGACTACCCATGAAAAAATAATAAGCTGAGTAAAATAAAGAAAGAGGAAAAAGTAAACTTCATCTTATTTCGTGGACATGATTCAACGTTATTGTACACATATTATTGTTCTAACGTGTAGTTTGATTTGGTATGCAGGTCATAAGTGTACAATTGTATCATTTTGTTATTTAATATGGTTAAAATAAATATATGTAATATGCCATTATCTAAAGCCATATTGTTCCATTAGTTTTCCGTGTTTACATAAAAAAAAAAAAAAATAATAATAATAAATAGTTTAAGCCCTTTTATTGGAAACGATTTTAAATTTGATGACGGTAGACACGTCATCGATCGTCAAAAATGAGATTATGTCATCGAATTTAAAGAGTAAGATGAGCGAATTAAGTATACGAATAATAATCATGAAAACTCACTGCCATAATGTGTATGCTACGATAAACTTGTATACTAATCGTATTGATTTAGCGTTAATCCATAGAGGGAGAAGGAGTTAAGGCCCAGGTCCTGGTTTTTATATTTAGGCTTAGGGTGTTTAGTATGAAAACAAAATTATTTTTAAAAGTTATATAATTACATAGCATTTAAAAGCATTTTGTTTTATAGAGAGATAAAGGAAGAATATTTTAGAAATAAAAAACGATAAAAGTACACTTAATATAATAATATGCATTTTACAAGTGAGTAAATGTCGTGGTAAACTGTCAAGTATATGATAATTGGGTTACAATTATAGGACAATAAAACTCCAAACTTTTTTTTTCCATGAACTACTCTTAGCAATAATTTGCTTCGTGGAAATATGGTTTCATCTATTTGCGGTTAGGTTAATAATTCAAAAACAAAACAATTTTTTTGGTTCTACTGAAAGATATTATTGGATTTAATTCTTCTGATGTTTGGTAGTTTTGATTCAATTAATATGAACAATAAAAATATGACATAATATACCTAATATTTTAAAAATTACTTTAAATGGACATTTATATTATATTTTGCACTAGGCTATACAAGTTCTAAGGGGTGGTCTAGCCATAAGTGCCATGTGCTTAGTATCATAAATCAAATTTTTGTTTTTAAAGTAACAATGTTTAAACTGGAGCTAAAGCTGTAGACGGATATATTAATTTATACTGTGTGAGTGGTTAAAACAAGGATAATGAACACTAAATGTGTGCCTATTTATATATTATTGCTGTTTTAATAATGATTTTTGTGAAAGAAGTTTTATATTTAGTATTCTAATAAATTTTATAATAAATAAAATAATTTCAAATAATTTAATAAGATTAAATACGTATTAAAATAACGGTTATATTTTATTCTACTTTATGTTAAAAAAATGTGTTTTTTAAACGAGTATAATAAACAAATTTGTCTTAAAGTAAAAAGTTTAGTAAAAAAAATAAAAAAGCTATCATATTTTATAACAACTTAGTCTGAACAGGAAATTACAAAATGCACTACTTAGTCGTACACAACTTTAACGGGCAATTAAATTTCGGTAAATGCGCGACGTGTACGGATACTTATATTATTCTCTTGCAAGGTGTTCCGGCGACCGTCGGTTCCAGTTGGTCGCGTTCGCGAAAGTCCATCTCAAGAAAATCGTAATTGGCGTCTTCGAAATCATTGTACGTAAAATTGGAGTAATTTTAATTGGATACGGGTCACGAGACGGACAGGAATTGACATGAAACGCGTCCGAAACGTGGATTATGAATGGGTTACACTCGCTCACCATGACATCGCATACAGTTGGCACGCCCAAGTGAGGCGTTAACTCCCTGTAGGCCACAACAAGTAGGAAATTTAATCTTAAAGTTTAAACTCTGTGTTTGGAGTTGCCCAAGAAACCTGAGCAGTGTCTTGGCATAATTATAGGAATTCATCCTGGCGAAGAACATTATATTTTTTTACGCTTTAAGTCTCCGAGCACGGGTGCAGGCACACAAGCCACTAGGGGTTCGGATCCAAAGCGAATAATGTAATACAGAGTATGCTATGTATGGTTTTTACATTCATTGATAATTTATAAATTAAAATTCTAAAAAATAAGAATTTTTAAATGTAACTAAAGATATTAAACATTTTTTAGATTTTATTGTTCTACTCAAATCTTAAGGAATGTCCTGTAGTGATACAAACTTTTGTTTTTTTCAAATGAAAACCACCCTTTTTTACTGTAAATTGTTTAGTTAATATTTTTGAAAATGTTGATGTACCTTATTATAAAATTCAAACGAGAATTTTTTCAATTATTAAAATATTTATACTAAGAATAATAGTTGTTAAAAATGGTTTTTAAAAAATATTAAATAAATATATTAATATAAATCACTAAAATGTCCACAACTCCCATATCTTCTTCATTCACTTTCGTAAATCTGTTATTCTTAGTACACAAAGTTAAACAATTCAAAAAGTAGTCTAAATTTAAATTTTAAAAAGTCAATTTTTTACTAAATAAATTATAATAGAAAAGAGGAGCCTCTTTAAAAAATTAATAGAAATTTGATTCACTACAGAATACTTGCATAAAAAATCTTAAGTGTTTGAAAACACGATCTTAGTCTATTTAAAAATTCTAAGAATTATATTGGCTAAGCTTGCTTTAAAAAACTTTCTGTAGATTCTCCAGTCTAAAAATTTAACATTAGTTGGGTTTCACCTTAAAAATTATTATCTACAAGTTAGGCTCTCAGTTTGTAATATATTACATGCTAACTTCTACTAGTTATAGGTAATAGTTAATAAGCAAGTTATAGACATATTATATAAGTAGGGCACGGATGTTGTAGTAATAAAAAACTAGTAAAATTGATTGCAGTATTGCACTAAAAAATAACAACGTTTCATTATAAATTATAATTAAAAATTTATAATTTTATTTTAATTTTACCAAAAAAATATTTTTTACATTTTATAATGATAAATAATTAATAATCTATACGTATACTAAACATATTAAATATGTTATATGATATAAGCGTGTGCAGACTGTAACATAATAAAGAATGAGTATTTATTAGTTATTACCCACGAGTTACATTCTATAAAATTATCAATACATATTTTAAATTATTTTGGTCATAATGTGATATTAAGAATGCACTATAACGTAAAATTATATGCTTAACAAATTACAAGAAAACAGATAATGAATGATTTTATGAAATTAATATTATTTAAAAATATAATATATCCATATTTATTTAAATTATTTTAAAAACGTTAAACATTTATTTTAAATACATATGACTTGTAAGTAATAACTAATAGTAAATGTAGTAAATATTACATTTTAATGAGTTAAATTAAATTTATAAAATTGGTAATAAGCTGAAATCTGTAATTATAAGGTATAATAAATTATAGACAAAAATAAATTATATGTTGAGATGGATATGTGATTAGTTGCAAAAGCGAACATAGGAAAGGTAAGTGGTCTGAGAACCTGTTACTAACCTATAAATCATCGATATTAAAATATAATAAAGTATGAGTTATGGCTTTATCCATATATTTAAGATTTCAACACAACTTAATTTGCATTGATAACTCTGTGATAGTAATCAACATTATTGGTGGATAAACGATAGTACAAATGCAGTGCTATTAAAAGTATAATACTGTTTGGAAATTTATCGCCAGTTTGTCGCTCTACCGTTGTAAGTTGTAACATTATTAAAATTATTATAAATTAATATTAACATTATTCGCTATAATGTAAAAAAAAAATTATAGATGTCCGTAAGATTTACCTTTATATTTCTATTGCATGAGGTGGGAGAATGATTGATTGATATGGAATCTCTTTAACTATGTTTGACGATATAAAATAGTTTGTTGCCATATATTATAAATAATCATAATAGTAATAATAATAAACGTTATTGGTTTGGTTGCATACATTAGTTATCGTCTTTTAAGTTTACGTCGAATGGAAAATCGTAACAACGTAATATGTAAAATAATAGTAATGATAATAATAATTCTATTATCATCATCGACATATTTATTATAATACATTATTATGTATTGGGATGTATATATATATATATTATATACCTACGTACGTTTTGTACAAAACATAAACAATAATTGAAAAATGTCGCACGTCCGGTTGTCTGGCCGACTGTCTGCACGTACGGTAGACAGAGATTGCGATAAACCATGGTGTATATAGGCTGTCTCAGTAGATTTACGGTTGGGGGGTTGGAGAGTATGATGGGGTGCAAAAGTGGTTGTAAGGGGTGCACGTCACGTAAAAAACGAAAGAAAGAAAAACGTCAACGAGACATTTACATTTTCCGACAAGACGTTCGGTACGGACAATGAAACTTATTTTTGTGTACAGTGAAATTATTGTTGACTGTGAATGTATAATAATAATAATAATAATAATAATAATATTATATTGTCGACATAATAATAATAGTATGTGATATAGCTGCCGAACTTAAAATACAGTTCTACGTTATAAAATAATTATAAATAACATAAATTATAATTTAACAATTGTGAATATATTACACGCAATGGTAATATATTACACACTATGATATGACTGTTTGGATAATACGTAGATTTAATAAATAATGAAAATTTGTTTCCATAGAATGGAGAAAGATTTAAAAATATTCAATTTCTCCAGAACTCAGATCTTCATATAAATATGCCCAAAATAATATTTGTAATTCTTTGTGGCTTAATATTATTTCCATAATATCATGTCGTTTACAGTTGCGTATAATGTACCATCTTAGCTCATTAAGGTTGACACTGGCAACGATTCACACATGGTATCAACTGAGATTAAAGCTATTTTATTCATGAACAGTATAAAAAAAATATTTAAAATAAAGTTATAGTGTCCAACTGACAGTGGTATAATACGCAAGACCTCTGCCAGTGTGTAGTAGTAGATTAGAAAA